CAAGATTTGAAGCATCAACACAAGGGGAAAGTTCACCGAACTATCACAAGATGAATCGCAACTTACCCAAGCACCCAAATCAGTGAAAACACAAGTTTTGAAACATCTGCACAAGGGGAAAGATCACCGAATGAATCGCAACTTACCCCACCATCAAGATTAAGCAAAAATCGTAGTTTTGGCAAGAGGAGGAAGCTGAAGAAGAAGGAGAAGAGGAGGGAGAAGAAGAAGGGGAAGGGGACGAAGAAGAAGAGGAGAAAGGAAAAGAGGGAGGGGAAGAAGAAGAAGAAGAAGAAGAAGAAGAAGAAGATAAAAAAAAGAAGAGGAAAGAGAAGAAGGAGAAGAAGAAGAAGAAGAAGAAAAAGGGGGCGGAGAGGGTCTCCCTCCTCTTTCGCTCACCTCTTGCTGGTCTTCTAGGCAATGGAGTCCCAAGCTTGGCTCTAGTCTCCTTGAATATGGCTTCTCCTCCTCCCAAGTTCTCTCTTCCTTCCTTTACACCTCCTCCCTAGCTATGGCAGGTTCCTACCTTTAGGGCAGTGCAGTCCTTCCCTCTAGAAGGGCTATGAGGACCCCTTTCAGCCTCTCCTCCTACCTCACAGCCTGAGGGCTATGGCGGACCACTATCCTTGCTTCCTCCTAGCCTCCCAAGTCTTCTCCTTCAGCCCTACCACCATAGCCAGACTCCAGGCTAGCTCCGGCTCTCACTCCCTTGCTTCACTTCCACGCGAACTCTCTCCTAGACTCATTTGGGCAGCATGGGCACCTCTCATGCTCAAATGAGAGTGGCGGCCTGCACCTCCAACTTATGTAGGCTAGAACAGGTGCACCGCCCAACCTCTAGGCCTCTCCAAGTGCCTCTAGGTGGACCGAGGTACTCTCAAGGCCAAATTTCAGGTTTTGGCCTTCCTGGAGGTACATGTGCCTCATTTTGGCCAGGTACATGCAGTCCGAGAGGCTGGTACCCTCTCGGACTACCCCTTGGCCTACCCCGACCTCTTTTCACTTAAAAAAGAGCTGCCTTTTGGGGTACCACTCCCCAAAATGCAGCCTTTACTGAAAATTGCGGGCCTAAAGGCCCGTTTTTCGTATTTTTCTTAGTCTAGGCCTCTTTTGGGTAGGCCGTTGTATTTTTCAAGTGGCGGCTCCAATCTCAGCCTTGGATTTGGCTGAGATCCACGGTTCCCATCATTCTGAGTCACTCCCAAGCTCCCCTTGCCCCAATTTTGAGCCTTTACTTCAATTTTCACCTTTTTTTTTTATGTATATGGCCCAATCCTTGGGCCAAATTCACAGTTTTGTCTTGTTCCTCTCTTTGTCTTCCCTCCGTTTTGCTGCCAACTCATTCCGGAGCTATCCGTTTTGCGTCAGCCCACAAAAAACGGCTAGATCTCCTCTTACACAAGATCAGTTTTCAGATCTATGGCCCAAAAAGGAGTCGGCCAACTCACATCAACATTTTTCCTTATTTTTGCAACTTAAATTCAGATATTGCAGAGATAATGCCCCAAGGGCCTTATCTTTGCAATCCGGACTGCCCTCCTAGGATCTAGGAGGGGTGAGGTCATCATTGGGACCTGCCAGTCCCTACTGCTGCAGTCCCAACCTGGCGGCACTTTTCCCTCCACCCATTCCTCGTCCTTTGTCTCATCCTCCCCTCTTTTTCTCCCCTTTTTCCCTCCCCTCTCTTTTATTACTGTTGGGACAAGTGTCCAACAACTATTTCTCCTCTTTCTAGTTGTTGGACCTTTCCCAAGGCCTGATTTTGCTGCCGACATATGGCCGTTACACCCCGGACTGCAGTAGTGGCACCCCCAAGTTCCAAGGGGGCTCCTTTCTGCTGCCGCCGCTCCCAGTTCGAGACTCCCTTGCTCCGATTCTCTCTGGCCAACCTTTTCTCCACGTGGAGTCCTCGGAACTTCGTCTTTCTTGGCCTAGCTGGTCCGGGATAACCTGGACCGCTGGCCGACCCCTCTTACTGCCGCTACTCCATCTTTTCTTTCCCCTCGGCACCTCCCGCCGGCGCTTGCCGCGACTCCCCGGCTCGGCTGGTCCCGTCCACCTGACGTCATGCTATTTTATCTCTGTTGTCGTTGCATTTGATCCAGGATCCCCTTGGGTTGCCCCAGGTGCCCTCTGTTTTTCCCGCCTCGCGCCCGTCTGATCCGTTATGTCGACAATTCTCGTCGGCGCCCGACTTCTCCTCCTTTTCTTATTTCTCCTAGCCCCTCCCCTTCATCCGGCATCACCCCGGGTGACGACCCGCTCTCGCGCGTCCCCCTCTTGGGCTGGTCGCCACTATCCTGCCGACGGCTTCCGACCTTCGGCCCCTGTCCGTGGCCTGACATTTTTATTCCGTCGATACCCGACCTGCTAGTGGTTCCGCTGGTGCCGCCATTTTGTCTGGGCCCACGCGGTCCCTGGCACTTCGGCCCGCCTGCGCTACGTCTATCCCTTGGTCTCACGTGGTTCCTGGCACTCCTTCCTGCCGATACTACGCCGTCCCTTGGTCCCGCGTGGTCCCCGGCACCTAGCCCCGCCGGCACCGCACTTCTTCTTAGTCCCCTGTGGTGTTCGGCACGCTGTTCCGCTCCGGGTGCCGGTTCCCACCTAACCTGCGGTCTCCTTAGCCCTCCTGCCGCCATGTCGCGTCAGCGCCTGGCGCCCTGTCCCTTCTTACTTCCTCCCTTCCCTTGCTGCACACCTCTTATGCTGCTACTAACTTCCATGCGGCCCACCTCCGTCCTTGGGGAAGGAGTCGCCCTTGCTATTCTCTCACAGTCCTTTGCCGCTTCCTGCTTAGACAATCCCTCTCTAGCTTTGGCGGTCTTTACGACTCCGGACAGCCTCTAGCCTCCTACTGTCTGTGCTCACGCTTCTTATCTTTCCGGCATTCCTGCCTCCGGTTTTCTCTGTCGTGCACAAATTGGTCAAATACAATCTCTTGAGTGACGGGAAATCATTCAGGACTCACCAGTCCCGACACCGGTGGATGTTTTAGCTGCTTCTACTCATGGTGAAGTGGGCCAGATACCCTCCCCACTTCATGAGATGACCATAGCTAGTGACTCTTTAGTCACCCCCCAGACTCATCCAGACCAAACTATGCTCTGTACGTTGGATGTGTCTGAAGCCTTAGAAGATCTGGAAAGTGAGTGGTCAAACAAGGACCCTCGTGAATCTTGGGTGGCGCTAAGGAAAGGTCCTAGAGGGGAACATTTCGTGGTGGAAGTTGATGTAGAAGGCCGCAAATGTCGTGCCTTCATAGACATTGGCTCCACGCGGAATTACATAAGTCGCGACTGTTTGGAAAGGCTGCACCTACAGGACCGGGTACAACACCTTAGTAGATCTGTAGCATCTACTTTGGCCAATAAGGAGCGCATGATAGTCACAGACTATATCAAGAATGTAGTCTGTACCTTCTCCTATGGAGGAGGGGAACTTAATCATAAGATTTCATTCCTGGTTAGTGACGACTTGCCATTCGACATGTTGTTAGGCATGTACTACCTTGAGGCTGCGAAGCCCCAGTTTGACTGGGACAAGAAGGTGCTAAAACATAAGTTGCCTGATGGCAGAACAGTCAGATTGACTAAGTTCAAAGCCAGTAGCATAATAGATACTTATGGCTGCTTGTGTGCATCAGCGTTCTATAATTATTACAAACAGAACCAAGAGGAGGGTATGTACCTTGTGTATGTCTCTGAGAAAGGGGAGGCCGTTAAAATACCCCCAGAGATAGAACGCGTCGTTGCTAAGTTCCTTGATCTAATCACTGAGCCTACAGGAGTCGTAGAGAGGGAGATCGTCCATGCCATAGAAATCATTCCAGGGAGTAAAATCCCAAAGGGAAGGATCTATAGGATGGCTCCGACCGAGTTGGATGAACTTCGGCGGCAACTGAAAGAGCTGACAGAGAAGCGATGGATCCGACCAAGTACTTCCCCCTACGGATCTCCAATGCTATTTGTACCGAAGAAGGGGGGTACATTGAGGATGTGCATTGACTATAGAGGCCTCAATGCCATCACCGTGAAGAACGCAGAGCCTCTACCTCGCATAGACGACCTATTGGATAGGGTGCAGGGATGCAAGTACTATAGCAAGCTAAATTTAAAATCCGGCTACCATCAGATTGCAATAAGACCTTAGGATCAGCACAAGACTGCATTTCAGACCAGATATGGTCTGTATGAGTTTGTTGTGATGCCCTTTGGTCTTTGTAACGCGCCGGGTACATTCCAGCACGCCATGAATAGGATCTTCCATGACCACTTAGATAAGTTTGTCGTTGTCTATCTCGACGATATTCTGATCTTTAGTAAGTCTGCCGAGGAGCACGCACAGCACGTTGAGACTGTACTATCTCTCCTACGACAGCACAAGTATAAGGTCAACCTAGAGAAGTGTGAGTTTGGACGCACTAAGATATTATACTTGGGTCATGAAGAATCCGCGGAAGGAATTAGGCCGGAAGATGCGAAGGTGGCTAGTATCAGGGACTGGCCACGACCTCAGACTGTCACTGAGGTCAAATCTTTCTTAGGAATGTGCGGCTACTATAGAAATTTCGTAAAGAACTATTCCACAGTCGCCTCTCCTTTGACAGATCTAACTCGACTTGACACGCCGTGGGACTGGAGTGATGAGTGCGAGGGTGCTTTCAAAAGACAGAAGCATGCACTCATGAATCATGAGGTTCTCATGGTACCCGATCCTCAGAAGCCGTTCATAGTGACCACTGACGCAAGCCAATACGACATTGGCGCAGTTCTGGCTCAGCAGGATGGGAAGAAGTTGAGACCGATTGAGTACATGAGCAAGAAGATGCCATCGAAGAAATTGGCAAAGTCCACCTATGAAAGGGAACTTTATGCTCTCTACAAGGCACTTGTCCATTGGAGACATTTTTTGTTGGGACAGTTCTTCTATTTGAAAACCGACCATCAGACGCTCAAATGAATCAAGACTCAACCGGCTCTTTCTGATGCACTCAAGCGATGGATTGAGGTCATAGATCAGCATGACTTCAAGCTTGAGTATCTGAAGGGAGAGTACAACAAGGTTGCAGATGCGCTATCACGTAGGGCAGACTACCTAGGGGCGCTAGTTTCTGACTTTGGTATATCTGAAGAAGTGACTCAATCGTTGGTGGGAGCCTATCAGGAAGACCTGTCACGATGGACATCATACAGAAACTTCAGGCAAAAGACAAGGCCACGGAAAATGAGTTTGTGATGGTGGACGGGCTTCTCTATCTTGATAAGGCCGGAGTTAAAAGGTTAGTCGTTCCATCTAGTGAACGTTTGCGTTGTTCATTTCTAGGAGAATGTCATGACGCAACCGGACACTTTGGCTACAAAAAGACGAGTGCCAATCCAGTACAGCGATTTTGGTGGCCTGGAATGCTAGATGACGCAAAGAAGTATGTAGAGACCTGTCAGGTCTCTCAGCGGGACAAGCCGCGAACTCCAGCACCGCTTGGGTTGCTGAAGCCCTTACCTATCCCCGCTGGTCCACGACACAGTGTTTCCATGGATTTCATGGACACCCTGGTGACCAATAAGAGTGGCAAGAGGCACATCTTCGTCATCATCGATCGATTCACCAAGTACGCTAGACTAGTTGCCATGCCAGACACCGCAAGGACTGACCACGTCATCAAGTTGTTTATGGACAACTGGGTGCGTGATTTTGGACTTCCAAAGTCAATCATTAGTGACAGAGATGTCCGATTCACAAGTGAGCTGTGGAAGAAGACAGCGGAGCAGATGGGCAGTCAACTTCATATGACTTCAGGGAATCATCCCGAAGCCAACGGACAGGCCGAGAAGATTAACAGAGTTGTACAACACTTGCTGAGGCATTACATCAAGCCCAGCCTGGATGATTGGGATGAGAAGTTGCCTCTCATCGCCAGCTTGTACAACAATGTTGTACACAACAGTACCGGCGTTAGTCCTAATCAGTTGCACTTGGGATGGAAGCCTAGATCAGCTCTAGACTTCCTCCTACCTGAAAACCGATCCTCTGCAACTCCGGGCACACTTGAGTATGGTGTGCAGTATGAGAAGTTGCTACAGCAAGCTGTCGAGCACATCAAGAAAGCTCAGCAAGCAATGATTGCTTCTGAGAACAAACATCGTCGACAGTCCTCATTTCAGGTAGGGGAACGTGTCTGGGTCAAGGCTAGTGAGCTAGGACAGGAATTCAGTATCTCTAGAAAACTAATGCCTCATTATTTTGGTCCCTAGGAAGTCCTGGATATAGTGGGGGATGAGATGGATGGTCCCACATATGTTATCCGTATGCCTGGACACCTACGCACTCAGCCTATCTTTCATGCCTCAAAGCTTGCACCTTTCGCGGAGACTGATCAATTCCCTTCAAGGAGATCGATGCTGCCCCCAACCATGGATGGCCAAGTGGACATCGACGACATTGTGGATCACAGGGACATGCCTGTTCCAAAGCCGCTGGGTCGAGGAAGACCTCCTAAACCCAAGAGAGAGTATCGCGTCAGATTCATGCATCATACAGATCCAAAAGAAGATCGGTGGTTTACCAGAGAGGAACTGATTGAGACAGCTCCTCAAGTGGTGGCTGAATATGAAAGAATGCTGAAAGGGAAGGCACCTGCGAAGTACGCATCTCAGCAGACTTTCGAAGCTAAGGGGGATGGAATGTGAGGATTGAGCCCTCAAAGGGGCCTTTCTGACATTCATATTTTCTGGGCATAGGCCCCCAGCAAGCCTCGTGCCCCCCCTAAGTGAAGGCGGGCTAGACATGTGACCGCCCTAAGTGAAGGCTGGTCAGAATATCCACGAACAGGCCTTTCTTTCAACATTTTTGTAAAGTGGGTATCAGACAGTTGCAGCACGCCAGTTGGTTGGAGTGCATCGTGGATCCCAGACTCCTGCGAGAAGCAGTTGAGCCCAGGGCCTTTAGTTGGTTGAGCCCTGGGCACAGGCCAGGGGAGGCTGACACATCACACATTGGATGTCGGCCAATCGGAAAGCAACATTGCCGTTGTAGAGGCTGAGCAGACCAATGGGAAACCGGAAAGGGTCTACATATGGATGACGGCCCTGGCATAAGGGGCGCAACTGTAGTGCCCGGGCCACATCTGGGTTGGGCCTGGGCGCAGGTACTGGGACCGGGGCACAGGCTCAAGGCAGGCCGCCCACACGCAGCAAGGCATATAGGCAAAGAGTGCGAGTGGCAAGGGATCTTGGCCAATGCAGGCATTGCGGGCACGCTGCGCATTTGCGAGGTGCTGCGCTGTGCAGAGCTGCGCTAGGCTGGGGTGAGGCAGGCGAGCGCTAAGCGGTAGTGCGCTGCCTGGGCGCAGGGCGCTGGCGGCCATAGCCGGGCTGCCTGAGGGCGCAGAGGAGGAAGAGCGAAGGTGGTTCTCGGAGGTGAAGGGCGCCGTGTGGGTTATCAAGGGAGAGTGTGGGTGAAGAGAGAGACGTACCTGGTGGAGAGGGAGGTCGACATTGGTGTTGACATCATCGCTCGCTGGTCGTCAAGTTCTCTGGTTGCTTTCATGCTGTAGTTGTAGGATTAGGCTGTAGAGTAGATAGGGCGCCTGGCGCCATTCAAGAGAGAGAGCTACATTCGGTTATGCTGTTGGTGTTGCCCGATTGGGCTTGGACATTGACTCACGATTTTGCTGTATCGTTCTCAAATGGATGGTTACTCGGTTCCATTGTGCTATCTGCTCTTGCTTTGACTACTCGGACTTCAGTGTGATTTTGCAATTTGGATTTTTGTGCTTCGTCCATATTCATGTTCCTTGCATTAAGCACACTAAGTTTCAAAATGCCGCAAATTAAAATTTCAAAAAATAAATAAATAAATAATAAATAAATAGATGAGGAGGTGAAGAGAAATTAAGTGTTGGATTGTTCAAAAATTTCGGCAGCATTTCGTTACCCCCATGGGGTCGAAGTGTGCCGTCAAGAAGAAAGGCCAAGTACAATGAGAAAATTTTGGCAACACTTCGTTACCCCCACGAGGTCAAAATGTGTGCCGAAAGCAAGAATGACTCACTCCTAATCAGATTTAAGGTGCCGCAAAGAAATTCAAATTTTCAAAATAAAAAAAAAAAAAATGAAATAAATCAGAAAATGAGAAAAGAAGGTGGGGAATAAGATAATTCGAATTTTTGGATAAAAAGAGGAAAAATAAATCAAAAGAAAGATAAAAAGAAGAAAAATAGAAAATTGCTTCCTATGAGAGCAGAGGATCCCAACGCCTCTGCCTCATCGTAGGCGGGATCTTCTCGGTCACCTTTTTGTTAGGGCTCTTAAACTGATTACGACCGTATTGGCCACAACGGATACAAGCCTGCCGGGTGTACCGGTCTCTCCACACGTCCTCAGTTAGACCCGCTTTCTCCCATGGAGGAGCATTTGGGTCGACTAGAGTCCTAGACCGGGAACCTCCACGACGTCTACCGGTTGCCTTACCTTTCCGTACTGAGGCAGCGACTACTCCACCCCCTGAAGCCTCTACGCTGCCTGCCTCTGAACCCACTCCCGCCCGGAAGTCGTCTTCCAACTCGATGGTAGAACCATCGTTGTCGACGAACATAATGCGGTCCTTCGCCTTCCAGTTGGGAGGCAATGACTTTTTCCTACCATCCATTGTGGGTGCCTCCAGGTCTAGGGCCTTCTTGCTGAACGAGCGAAAGTCGTGCATGTTGATGTTGGCCTCACCTGCCAATTGATTCCTGAGAGGCATAGGAAAACATCTCAGGTTGGAGGTGAGTAAAACCTGGGGGTCATAGCGCACCCTAGGGACACAGATCAGACGCTCTACTGCGTCTGTGGCCTCTCCTACTGACTTGAATTGTCTATGGTTCAGAGTCAGGATTGCATCAGTGGCTTTTTGAACCTCCTGAGGATCTTGCCGCCTGTCTTCCACCAGCTTAAGAAAGTCATCCAATTTCCGGTTGACCGCCCAAGCGCGAAAGTCATGACCGTATGCCTGTAGTTGCACTAAACCACTCAACCATCTTGCTGCACTCCCCTCTAAATAGGAGGCAGCCACAAGCACTTCCTCGTGCGGCAAGGTCAGTTTACACTTGACATAGACCGGCACTGGCCTCAACCATGTGTCGAGGTCAGTCCCGACACCTGTCCCCTGAAAGTGGTTTGGGAGAGGCGATGGCCGTCTTTGGAACCCACGGTGTTTGTCCCGGCACCTGTCCCACTCCAGACTGTGGACCTTGGGGAACAGGCTGTTGCACTGGCTGTTGCTGGGGTTGTGTGCCCTGCGGCTGTGCAGGTTGCGAGACAGCAGGCTGCCCCGTCACGACAACCTGCGATGGAGGTTGGGAGTACAATGTCTATACAAGAATCTGTACACGAGGACCTGCTGAGAACCCTCCGGTTAACGACATTCCTAAGGAAACGGCTTGGACCGATGATGGAGAAACATGTGGGGATACTCCAGACACCGGTGGGATGAAAGGAGGAGGATGTACAACGGGCCAGGCACTGGGCCCGGACGGCAATGGACCTGCCTGCACTCGCCCGACCAGAACGGCCAGACTCTGTTGGATGTCCTGAAGGAGAGCCGTGTGGTGGTCCTGCATTTCTACTACACCTAGCAGAACTGTCCGCAACGTCCTCACATCAGCATCCATGTGCGTCAGGTCCATTCCCTCTAACTCACTAACGTCCGCTTGTCTCCGCTGCATCCTTGCTCTTCTTCTAATCATTCTTTCTTTCTCTGCCTTCATCTCTCCTAGAGCCTTCTGTAGTTGTGCCTCTTGCAATGCTGCCTGCTGTATGGCGACCTCATCGGGAGTCAACACTATGGGCTGGCTTGCCATAACGCCAGTGGACTGACTCAGGGTCTGCGCAACCGTTGACCCTACGGTCCCTGAACTGCTGGCCTGGGAACTCTGCTGCGCAGCAGTTGCCATGGCTGTTGAAGCAGCGGCTTCGCTTGCAAACGCCCTGCTGGCCTCTGCTGCCGAAGCTCTCCGCTGCTGCTGCTGTCTCTCCCTAAGTTGGCGGAACGGTAACCTGTCACCCTCGAGTCCTAATGCCACGTGGGCTATCGGGTGTCTAGCCGATCGCAAGATCCTGTCGTCCTCACTAGTGGTATCCCTGTCGCTCATAAGCTACAGAACTATACACAATTTGCACCAGGTCACTCTTGATGCCTACAACAGCAAAATGCATAGACCGATTTATAATAATTAAAATAATTAATCGATGGCTAAGTCAAAGTATATACATTTGGGTCCAACAAGTAAGTTCAAATTCCTACAAACGAAACTATATTGACTTTGACTAGTTCACAAACAGAAAGCACAATGAACAAGAAACAGTTCTAACAATGTTGTCTATCAGATGTTAATGGTTGTACATCTAACTAATCAAAATAAAAATAGAATCATTTATTGGGTCTGTTTGCAGAATGGAATCTTGCCCAAACTTATCACCTGGAATCTGCCCCTCCCTCAGTTCTTCCTGAACGTCCCTAAGCAATCCAAAACAGCGTGCGTGTCTAAAGGTGTGCACACGGCCCGCCCCTGTGCCCCGAGTCCCGCTGAGCTGGCCAGCCCTGCACAATATTTATCCTCGCGTGCAGCGAGCCTTACACCGAGCGATTGGCTGATGAGGAGGCGTTTTTATGGATGGCCCCCGAAGTCCTCAAGAATTATTTAACGTCGCAAACAGGACGACGATCACAGCCAATGGAAGGTCCCCTGCCGGTACTTATGTATAGACGTTCGGTACTCGTCTTTCCCATAGGGTTGCAGCGAGCAGACAAAGGACAAAGCACCAAAGCATGCGTGCTCTACTCCCGGTGGGTTGGCATGGTGATCGTGACCCAATGCTTCCTCGAGGGCCCTTCAAGTAGCACCGCCCTCTCCTTCCAGATGCTCCACGTGAACACTGACGACTCTCAAGGTTGACCGCACACGACTCCTCACATGAGAGGACTCTCAAGATAGAACACACATCCTCACGGTAAGAAGTGTGGCAGAGGGTAGATAAGGTTAGGTGCAACGTACCTCAAAATAGCTGCCCCCAACCATAGATATTCTCATCAGATGACCCGATGCCGATTGTGATCACCAATCGCTGCTTCGGCACAACCAGCATTACACCACCGTTCCACCTCAGCATCAATCGAACATCAGATAGTTCTCATCACACTACGAACACCCAATATTCACCACAGTAGCCTTCTTGGCGATACCCCACACCTCCTGGGTCGCCTTACCTGTCTCCACCCTCCTCACTACACACCTCCCACGGCCGCTCGCCCAGCAGACCGTGTGCATGTACCGCATAGGCAGAAGACAAGCGCCAGATGAGCGCACCGTACCACAACTCTGATACCAAATTGCAAGGAAAATGAGCAATAGCGAACTTCAAAAATCAAACAGCATCATACACATGAGACCAGATAGTCGTGACCTCGAACCAATAGCAGAATTGCATCATGAGTTTCACCAAATAAGAGCACAGCAAAAGCTCATAGTTGACAATGCTGGAATAGTGTCATCATCATCAACGCAGAACCAATGTCGATATCCTATCTGGCGCTCGGCGCCCAGACTACAGATGGCAGATCCTATCTAGCCTATCTACGATGCCGCTGATGACGTCAACAGCTCCCCGAAGTACGAGCAGATCTCGGCCAATGCCGTTCGCCTCGAGCACTCAATCCCCAACTCACAGATGCCACATGCACCCAAGAACCACCATGCGCCCCATCCAGCATACAGCAGCGCAGCTCGCCTATGGCTGCTTGCTCCTTCCAGCTCGCCCGTGAGCGCGTGAGCGCTGGCCAGCGTTGCACAGCAGCGCTTGCACAGCATGCAGCCAGTGCCCGAATGACCAACGCGTGGGCAGGCCCTTCCCTATATCGAAGTGGCCTGCTGCTGCTGCGTCGGATAATGCGGTACTGGGCCCCGGCCCAGAAGCTTTCAGTAGGCCCCGCGAGGCTGAGCCTCAGTACAGAGGAAACAGGCCCAGGGCCTGTGGTGGTTACCAGCGCCCAACCGCCCTCAGCCTGTGTTCGGTCCATGTTGTGTATCCGGCCCAGGGCCTGCCCCAGTTACACACGTTAAAGGGCAGCCTGGGCCTGGGCGCTTCCAACCAACTGGCGCTGCGCAACTGCCTGAATTTTCCCAGTTGTGTGGTGACCCCAAAATGGCATCGGTCGAGCCTGCCTTCACTTAGGGCGGTCGACTGTGTTGAAAATAGGGCCCAGTAGGGCGTATCGAGGCCTTGTGCCCCGCAATAGCTGCTACAGTACCGAAAGGGCAAGTAGGAAGGTCCAGAGTCTTCTAGGACTGCCCCTTGAGAGTCTTGGAAGCAGTCCGTACTCAAGTGGGCAAGTGGGCAGACTTACCAGATCCAGTCAGCGGTACCCAGTCCCAGTCGCACCTTGTCCAGTCAGCAAGTACCATGTGGGACTGTGTGCATCCTAGGCCCAATGGAAAGGGAGCAGACCACCGACCAACCAAAGTATAAATCAAGAGGCAGCGTCTAGTTATTCATTCATTCAGACTGTGAGCCGTGCGGAATCGCTGCCTGAGCGACTTGTGCAAGGAGGTCTGCAGGTGGCCGAGGAAGAAGTGGGCTGAAAGGGAGTCGAAGTGGCCATAGCCGCTTGTTAGTGGTAGAGGTAGAAAGCAGCCATACCTGCTCTAGGTTAGAAATAGGCTACAGCGTGTATGTGTATGAGTGTTCAGTGAGGTGTGTGCGTGTGTGGGACATCCAGCGAGATCCAGAGTAGCGTGCGTGTGAACAGTTGCTGGGAATACAGTGTCGGATGGATGTTGTGAGGGCGCACAGGGGCCATAGCCATTCGAAGCAAGTTGAATCTGAACTGTGTTCTTGACCACGATATCTCTGAGCTTTGTGTGGGCGCATGTCGCCAGTGTGATTGCCATCTGTTTTCATTCATGCTCAGTGAGAAAGAAGACGAGTCTGATTGCATTGGTATCGGGGCTGGTTCCCGCTGTTCCACCCGCTGTCGTTGTTGTCAAGACGAAGAAGGAGCCGCCATAGCTGCGCCACTGCAGGAAGACGCTGCGCACCTGCACAGACAACGACAACGTAGAAGAAGAGCGAGCGAGCGAGAGAGAGAGACAGAGACACACAGAGAGAGAGAGAGAGAGAGAGAGAGAGAGAGAGAGAGAGA